CTGACTCTCACTGGGGTACGGGTCCCACACACACTGACTCTCACTGGCGTACAGCCCCACACACACGGACTCTCACTGGGGTACGGGTCTCACACACACTGACTCTCACTGGGGTATGGCTCTCACACATTCTCTCTCCTTTCCTCTCTCTCCTATCCATCCCCACCTTTCCTACTCCCTGACTTCCCCTGCACTCGTTTTACTCTTTTTTTTCCATTGCTTCCTTTTCTACCCTCCTCCACATCCAGTCTTCTACTTTTTCATGTTTTAAATTTCTCCTGTTCGAGCTTTACTCTCTTGTCTTACTTGTTGCCCCTCTCTCCCCCATTCGTGGCTTCATGGTGAGCACTGCTGCCTCACAGTGCCAGGAACCTGGGTTTGATTCCAGCCCCAGGCAACTATCTGTGTAGAGTTTGCACGTCCTCCCCATGTCTATGTGGGTGTCCATCAGGTGCTTTGGATTTCCTCCCACAATCCAAAGATGTGCAGGTTAGGTGGGTTGCCCATGGCAAATGCAGGAAATGGATCAGTGGCTAGGTCTGGGTGGGATGTTCTTTGGAGGGTCGGTGCAGACTCGTTTGGCCGAATGGCCTCTTTCCACTCTGTAGGGATTACAATAGACCATAGAATAGAACAGCACACAACAGGCCCTTTGGCCCAAGATGTTGTGCCGACCTATTATCCTACTCCAAGATCAAACTAACCTGCATACCCTAAATTTTACTATCATCCATCTATCGTCTATCCATCTCTCTCTCTTTTCCCTCCCCAACACCATCAAGTTTTTGATCACTATAATGGTGAGTTCGGCTGGGATCAAACTGATGCTGGTCTGAGGTGAGCTGTTTGTGACAACAGGAACCTCTGAGGCAGTGTTCTGAGCTGGTTTGTTACTGGTTGCTAAGATTCGTTTTGCAGCAAACAACCCTCAGCTCCTCTGAGGATCTGGATGGAAACCCGGTGAGAAGAGATTCAGCTGCTGTGAGGGGAGTGGGAATCACAGCAAGAAGCTGGAGTCACAGCAGAGCGGCAGCATGCAGTGTGGGGTTCAACAGAGTCAGCAGCAGACAGTGTGCAGCAAGCACACAGCTCGCCTTGAGGATACCCACATCAGTACGAGTGAAGGACAGACAGGAGAGGATGGTGAAACTGGACGGTGAGTGAGGAACCTCAGTATTATCACCGATTGGTTAATGGAGCTGCTGTGGGGCATTCTCTGTATTCGCAAAGCATCAGGCTCCCCGAGGTTCCACACTGGTAAACAGCAGGTTTGGTTCAACCAAAAACAGGCACTCAAACAAGGCTGAAGGGTCAGTGCTGAGGGAGTGCAGCACTGTTGGAGGGTCAGAACTGAGGGAATGCCGCACTGTCAGAAAGTCAGTGCTGAGGGAGCGCTGCACTGTCTGAGGGTCAGCACTGAGAGAGCGCCGCAATGTCAGAGGGTCAGTGCTGAGGGAGCACTGCCCTGTCAGAAAGTCAGTGCTGAGGGAGCGCTGTGCAGTCGGAGGGTCAATGCTGAGGGAACACTGCACTGTTGGAGGGTCAGCACTGAGGAAGTGCCGCACTGTCAGAGGATCAGCACTGAGAGAGTACCGCACAGTCGGAGGGTCAGCGCTGAGGGAGTGAGCACTGTAGGAGGGTCAGTGCTGAGGGAGCGCCGCACTGTCAGAGTGTTAGCACTGAGGGAGTGCCGCACAGTCGGAGGGTCAGTGCTGAGGGACCACTGCACTGTCAGAGTGTCAGAACTGAGGGAATGCCGCACTGTCAGAGAGTCAGTGCTGAGGGAGTGCCGCACTGTCTGAGGGTCAGCACTGAGGGAGTGCCACACTGTTGGAGGGTCAGTGCTGAGGGAGAGCCACACTGTCGGAGGGTCACTGCTGAGGGAGCGCTGCACTGTCGGAAAGTAAGTGCTGTGGGAGCACCACACTGTCAGAGGATCAGTACTGAAGGAGTGTTGCACTGTCGGACGGTCAGTACTGAGGGAGTGGGCACTGTCGGAGGGTCAGTACTGAGGGAGTGCCGCACTGTCGGAGGGTCAGTACTGAGGGAGCGCCGCACTGTCGGAGGGTCAGCACTGAGGGAGTGCCGCACAGTTGGAGGGTCAGCACTGATGGAGTGCCACATTTTCGGAGGCTCTGTACTTAAGATAGAATATACGTTCCATAGAGGGAGTTCAGCGGAGGTTCCTAGGCTGGTGCAGGGGCTGCCAGTATGTGGAGAGATCAGATTGACTGAGTCAGTATTCACGTGAGTTTAGATGAGAGTGGATCCGATTGAAACTGGTCAGACGAGTTGCAGGGAGGGTGTGTTCCCTGGTTGTTGAGTGCAGAACTAGGGCACACAGTCTCAGGATATGGTGTAGACCATTTTGGACTGAGATCAGGAAAGATTTCGTCACTCAGAGGGGAATGAACCTGTGGAATTCTTCTCTATGGAAGGCTGTCGAGGTCAAGTCACTGAATATATTCAAGAAAGAGATAAATAAATTTCTGGAGTTTATACTCATTAAGCAGTATGGAGAAAAAGTGAGAAAATGGAATTGAGACAGAGGATAAGCCATGATCATATTGATTGGTGGAGTAGGCTCAAAGTGCTAAATGTCCTCCTCTTGCTCATAGTGTCTAAGTTTCTGTGTTACTTGCCCTATGACATTATCATTCTTTGCTGTCCGCCTTGTTGATATATTTCACTGACAAATGTGAATGGGGTCACAAGATTGATCATTTGCTGTAGTAACTGTTGTCCCCAAAGGGTGAGGCCACGTTGGATCCTGGACCCCATGGGGGATTGGTATATTCGATGGCTCGCAGTGTCTACAATCCCCGTCATCTACAACTGGATCATTCTTGTTGGCAGGTGAGAGACCATCTCAATGTTCAGCAATCACACACTTACGCAACTGTTACAGTGCAGAAGGTCCATCACACCTGCACTATTATCTCCTGCTAATTTCCTGCCTTTTCCCCATTTTCATGCGCATCATTTCTATCTAAATAACTATCCAATACCCCCTTGAATGTGCCAATTGATCCACAGTTCCAGGCAGTGCATTGTAGACCCTAACTATTCGCTGTGTGAAGAAGACTTTTTTCTCTCACATCACCCTTGCTTATTTGCATATCATTTTAAATGTATGCCCCTCTTGTTCGTGTTCCTGTAACAAGCAGGAACAGCTTCTCCCTGTTGGCTCTGTCCAGCCTGTGTATGATTTTGGATTCTTTATCAAATCGCCTCTCAGCTTTCTCCTCACCAAGGAAAACAATCCTGACTTATTCAATCTCTTCTCATTACTGATGTTTCTCATTCCTTGAACCATTCTTGCAAACCACTTCTGCACCCTCTCCAACGCATCCACATCTTTCGTATGATGTGGTGTCCACAACTGTACACAATCCTCCAGCTCAGGTCTAACAGGTGTCTTGTGCAAGTTCAACATCAGCTCCTCCCTCTTGTACACTATGCCCCTATTAATAAAGCTGGCGACAGTTATCAACCATCAATGACCTTCCCTCCATCATAAGGTCAGAAGTGGGGATGTTCGCCGATGATTGCATAATGTTCAGCACCATTCGTGACTCCTCAGATACTGAAGCAGTCCATGTTCAAATGCAACAAGATCTGGACAATATCCAGGTTTGGGTTGACAAGTGGCAAGTGACATTCGCACCACACAAGTGCCAGACTATGACCTTCACCAATAAGAGACAATCTAACCACCATCCCTAGACATTTAATGGTGTTACCATCACTGAATCCCCCACTTTCAACATCCTGGGATTTATCATTGATCAGAAACTCAACTGGACTCACCACATAATGCATATTTCCAAGACAGGATGGTGAGTGGTTTGGAGGGAAACTTACAGGTGATGGTATTCCCATGCATGTGCTGCTCTTGTCCTTGTCGATAGTAGTGATGGTGGGTTTGGAAGGTGCTATCTAAGGATCTTTGATGAATTTCTGCAGTGCATCTTGTAGATATTACACACTGCTGCTACTGAGCGTCGGTGGTGGAGGGAGTGGATGTTTGTGGATGTAGTGCCAATCAAGCGGGCTGCTTTGTCCTGGATGGTGTCAAGCTTCTTAAGTGTTGTTGGGGCTGCACCCATCCAGGCAAGTGGGGAGGATTCCATCACACTCCTGACTTGTGCCTTGTAGATGGTGTACAGGCTTGGGGAGTCAGGAGGTGAATTACTCACCGCAGTATTCCCAGCTTCTGACCTGCTCTTGTAGCCACTGTGTTCATGTGGTGAATCCAGTTGAGTTTCTGGTCAATTGCAATCCCCAGGATGTGGATACTGGGAGATTCAGTGATGGTAACATCATTAAATGTCAAGGAGCGGTGGTTAGATTGTCTCTTATTGGTGATGGCCATAGCCTGAATGTTACTTGCCACTTGTCAGGCCAAGCCTGGATATCGTTCAGATGTTGTTGCATTTGAATGGGCCGTTTTGATATGTGAGGAGTTGTGAATGGTACTGAACATTGTGCAATCCTCAACAACCATCCCCATTTCTGACCTTATGATGGAAGGAAGGTCATTGATGAAAGATGATTGGACACTACCCTGAGGAACTCCTGCAGAGATGTCCTGGAGCTGAGATGACTGACCTCCAACAACCACGACCATCTTCCTATGTGCCAGGTATGACTCTAACCAGTGGAGAGTTTGCCCCCTATACCCATTGATTTCAGTTTCGCTAGGGCTCCTGGATGCTGACTGTCGAGTAGCCTCACTTGACGTGTCCCTCTCAGGTCCATCTGCCTCATCTCCTGGGAGGTGCCAAGCCGTGACCTCTCTATAATCCGCTCAGAGGGCGGAGGTGTCATTAATATCTGAGGAAGTTGATGGGGGCATTTCTGAGAGAAATCAGTAGGTGCTGTTTTGATCACATTTGCTATTTGCACACTGTCAGATCTATTAGCAACATGCATCACATGTTAATTCTGAATTAATTGTAGGTTGTATTATTGTTCTAAGACTGTAAAGTTTATTGTCATTTGTTCAAAACCATATAATCCTGTGGTTTTATTCTTTTTAGTAGATTCCCTGAGGCTCATTGTGGTCTGTTTTAATAATAAAATATTACTGATCCCTCACCAGAACCTCAGATAAAGTTGGTGGATTGATCTGGGATCATTAAATAATTTAGCGTCTCTTCTAGGATTATATTATGATTTCAGGAATAGCGCTATCAAATGTCAAATGTGACCAAGACAGATTCCACCAATTTTTCAGCAATTCACTGCTGATGCTATTGACACACTGGCTCATTGAGTCTCATTAAACTTCACCAGGAATTACACAGATGGAAATAGAGGGAAGCAACTGAAATGAAAGGGATAAAGAGAAGAGAATAAATAATAGATTGTGACAGGGAAGAAATGGAAAGTAACAGAGAAAGTGGATAGCAATGAAGAGATACATAGAAACATAAAAGATAGGAGCAGGAGGAGGCCATTTGGCTGATTGTGGCTGATCTTTCAACTCAATAGCCTAATCCTGCTTTCTCCCCATAATCTTTGATCCCATTCACTCCAAGTGCTATATCTAGTTGCCTCTTGAATGTATTGGTATCAACTACTTCCTGTGGTAATGAATTCCACAGGCTCCCACTCTTTGGGTGAAGAAATGTCTTCTCATCTCTGTCCTAAATGATCTATCCCGAATCCTCAGACTGTGACCCCTGGTTCTGGACACACCCACCATCGGGAACATCCTCCCTGCATCTACCCTGTCCAGTCCTGTTAGAATTTTATAAGTCTCTATGAGATCCCCCCTCATTCATCTGAACTCCAGCAAAAACAATCCTAACCTAGTTAATCTCTCCCCATACATCAGCGATCCCTGGGTTCAGCCTGGTAAACCTTCACTGCACTCCCTCGAGAGCAAGAGCATCCTTCCTCAGAAAAGGAGACCAAAACTGCACACAATATTCCAGGTGTGGTCTCACCAAGTCCCTGTATAACTGTAACAACACATCCCTGCTCCTGTACTCAAAACCTCTCGCAATGAAGGCCAACATACCATTTGCCTTCTTTACCGCCTGCTGCACCTGCATGCTTACCTTCAGCGACTGGTGCACATTGTAGAATGTGATGAAGAATAACAGAGAAATAAAGAAGTTAAAGAGATCAAAATGTGATAGTGAGTGACAAAGAGAGGGAGAGATGGCAGGGCTGTGATGCAGAAAGTGTGTTAAGTGATTGCAATGATCACCTGTAGCTGCTGAATAGGTAGCAGCTTTGAGTTGGACTGGGTCAAGAAATGAGGGAGGGATTGCCTGTGGTTTGGGATCTGGCTGAGAACATGGCCACAGGCTGTTTCTTCCTGCCTGCTATCCTGGCTGCTTCAATACTCAGTCTGATTGCTTCCCAGGTGGAGCTTCACTGACCTTCAGTCCAACTACCTGTCTGTGTGGCTCTTTCTGGATTACCTCTCAGACCTCATCTACCTACTGAGTATGGCAGTCAGGTTTAACACAGGTGAGTGTGTTTGTATGTGTCCACTTTGTTTTTGAGGTTAGGGTGAAAACACTAATCCTTCACCCCACAGACACATTCAAGTTAATTGTGCAGAGTCAGGGAGGGTTGATGAGGTTAATGCTGTTGATGTGGTGTACATGGACTTGCAGAAGGTTTTTGATACAGTGCCACACAACAGACTTGAGCAAATTTCGAACTCATAGAATAAAAGGGACAGTAGCAATGTGGATACAACATTGCCTGAGTGACAGGAAACAGAGTAATGGTTCATGGAACTTTTTCAGGTTTGTAGTGGAATTCCCCAGTTTTGAACCTTTGCTCTTTCTGATATACAGAATGAAAGATAGAGTGATGGAGGGAGTGAGACAAGGAGAGAGAGATATGGAGAGAGAGGTAGAGAGATGGAGAGGTTTAGGGAGGGAATCCCAGAGAGTAGCACCAAGGAGCAGGAATCGTGATCACCAATCAAACAGTGTTTCAATCTGGGGGCTGCTCAAGGGCCAGGATTGGAGGGTAATGGTGCTGGGGCTGGGGCAGGAGTGGGACTAGGGGTAGGTTGTTGGGACTTGGGGTAGGTTATGGGGGAGAGTAGTGGGTGATGGGAAGTGTTGCGGGTTCGTGGGAGTGGGAGAGGTTTGTGGGGATGGAGGAGAGAGTGGGGGAGGGGTGTGGGGTGATGGAAGGTTGTGGGGGTAGGGAAGGGTACGGGGCTGGGGGAATTTACAGACCAGGGAGTGGTGAAACTGTAGAGGAATTTGAAAACAAGAATGAGAATTTTATACCCAAGACTTTGCTTAAGCAGTGAATAAGGATGTCAGGGAGCACGGTGTGGGGGGCGGGGTGGGGTTTGCGGAGGAAAGCTGGGTGAATGGGATTTCGTGAATGGAGTGAGTGGGGGCAGAGGAGTTTTCGATGAATTGAAGTTGATGTTGGACGAAGGGTGTGTTTGAACTGTAGCTGACAGCAGTGTTTTCAAACATGTCCTTAGCTCAGTGATGGAGTGGGTCTGGAATTCTCCTTCTGCAGGATATCTGGAGCAGGGAATCTTAGTGACAGACCGCTGGCAGATTGCTGCAAGGTATGCTCGGAGCCATGGCTTCAAGTTGGACCTGCTGTCCTTGGTGCCCACAGATCTCCTGTACGTTCAGTTTGGTGTTCACAGTCCAGCTATCCGGCTCAATCGGCTACTCACAGTCCGCTGTCTCCCGGAGTTCCTGCAGCGCCTGGAGACCCGTGTGTTCTATCCCAACACCTACCGGGTGCTCCGTACCTCTGCCATCCTGGTGGCCAGCATCCACTGGAATGCCTGTGCCTACTTTGCCCTGTCCAGGCACATTGGCTTTGGGCAAGACCCTTGGGTATATCCCAACATCTCGGACCCTGACAATGCCCGCTTGAGGCGCCAGTACCTCTACAGTTTCTACTTCTCCACCCTGGTCCTGAGCACAATAGGGAACATCCCAAAGCCTGTACGGGAGGAGGAGTTCCTCTTTGTGATGGTGGATTTCCTCATCGCTGTGCTGGTCTTTGCGAGCATTGTGGGGAACATGGAGTCGATCATCTCCAAGCTGGACAAGGCGGCTCACAGTGTTGTCCCCGATCACCAGCTGATCAGGGATTACCTCCGCTCCCAACGGGTCAACACGAAGCTGCAGCGACGAGTGACCGAGTGGTCTCAGCACCTGCGCCTCTACAAGAAGGTAACCAACGAGAGACACATCCTGCAGCTGCTCCCGGACAAGCTGCAGGCTGAGGTTGCAACCTGTGTCCACCTCCAGACGCTCAGGAAGGTCCAGCTTTTCCAGTCCTGTGAGCAGCGTGTGCTGTACCAGCTGGTGATGAGACTGCAACCTCAAGTCTTCAGCCCTGGTGACTATGTGTGTCGGAAAGGGGACATAGGCAGGGCCATGTACATCGTACAGGATGGGTGCCTGGCGGTGGTTGCTGACGATGGACTGAGACAACTCGCTGTCCTTGAGGCTGGCAACTATTTTGGAGAAATCAGCATCCTCAACATTGCAGGTAAGATTCTGCAGAACTCCACCGCTCATTCCTACTCAGTCTCCCACCTCCCATAGAATCATAGAATCCCTACAGTGTGGAAACAGGCTCTTCAGCCCAACAAGTCCACACCAACCCTTGGAGCATCCCACCCAGACCCATCCCCCTATAACTCACCTAATCTACACCTTCTTGAACACTACGGGCAATTTAGCATGGCCAATCCACCTAAGCTGCAATCTTTGGACTGTGGGAGGAAACCAGAGCACCCGGAGGAAACCCACGCAGACACGGGGAGAACGTGCAAACTCCACACAGACAGTCGCTCAAGGGTGGAATCGAACCCCGGTCCCTGGTGCTGTGAGGTAACAGTGCAAACCACTGAGCCACCATGCTGCCCAGAGCCAGGAGCTCCCATATTCAATTCCCACTCAATGGAATGGTTATCACAGCATAATAAAGAAGGTGGCCATTTGGCCCAATGTGTCTGTATTGGCTCCTAGAAAGTGTAATCCAATTATTCCCAATCCCTCCACAAAATGTTTCCTCTTTGAATATTTATTTCAATTCCCTTTTGGAAAGTTTACTTACATTTCAGGCAACACATTCTATGCCACAAAAAACCCACTGTGTCAAAACACTCTCCTGAAAGTTCTTTTATGACAAGAACAGACAGGCGTTAAAAAAATGGAGCAGGAATAGGCCATCCTTTGGCCTGCCCTGCCACTTTGTAAGACTATGGTTGATATCCCCAAACCACGATACCTTTCTTGTGCCAGCCCTTCATAGCCCTCAACTCCTCAATATTTCAAAAAATCTATCTACCGCTATCTAAATACGTCCAGTGATCTAGTTTCCACAACGGTTTGGAGTAAAAAATTCCAGACATTCGCTGCCTCTTCACCATCCTGCACCTCTACTCTCTCATTTAGTTTTGATTTTTTTAAACTTCCTGCTGTTGAACCCTCCTTCATTAATTAGTTTAAAGCTCTATCAACAACCCTCATTATATGATTCACCGAGACACTGGTCCCAGCTTGGTTCAAATGAAGGCCATCGCAGTTGAACAGCTCTCTCGTTCCTCGGTACTGGTGCCACATGAATTGGAAATCTTTTCTCCCATACCACTCATTTACCTCTCTAATCTTATTTATCCTGTGCCAATTTACTTGTGGCTCACGTGGAAACCTGGAGATGATTATTTTTATGGCTGTGCTTTTTAATGTATCCCCAAGCTGCTTGTAATCCCTCAACAGAAGTTCTTCTCTGGTGCTATCTCTGTGATTAATAAATTAGAATTATTAAATAAATTAGATGAGTACACCAATAAGAAGTGCTTGAAGGAATATAGGCCAAGCACAGGCAGGTGGGACTAGTTTAGTTTGGGATTGTGGCCATGACAACTAGATCATTCTCCTCCCACTCCAAGTTCCTCTCCTACCCAGAAGAAATGTCCTGAATCTTGGCACCAGGTCAGTGACATAGCCTTCAAGACTCTCTGTCTTTGCTGCAGAGAACAGTTTCTGTTTCCCAAACATTTCCCCTATTTCAGTGACATTTGTTGTTTCTCCCTCCATTTGAATGGTGCTCAGGACCATGCTGCTGTGGTCAGTTTGCTCATCCACCCTGCAGTCTGTAACCCTGGTCCAACTCTGGGAAGGAGAACATTGTTCCTATTCGATAAAGGCTGTGGCTCCTCCAAAGCTAAATTCTGGGTCACCATCTCAATTGCAATTCCAACCTCTGTCCCTGACCATGACCAAAATTTGGTGTAATTAATGTAAAGAATGTGATTGCACCTTGAAGCACAGTGTCCGGGTACCTCTCCCCTTCCCTGAACTCCCACAGAGTCTGTAGCTCAGACTCCAGCTCATCGACTCTGAGCTGAGCTGCCTCAAGCAGCCAACACTTCCTGCAGACGCGGTCAGTACGAATCACTTTGGCATCCACCAGCTCCCACATACTACAGCTGCAACACATCACCAGCCCAGCCATCTCCAGTCTATGTATTTTATTAATTTGAATGTTAAATATTTCAGATGTGATTTTTTTTAGCTGCATTCTTCAGCTGCAATAACATCTCCTGTTTGAAACCATTTGACCAATCAAAAGCGTAAGAAATAAGCTGCCTGCTTTCTTGCCATAAAAAGGGTGGCAATGGCCGAGTAGTATTATCACCAAACTATTAATCCAGAGACTCAGGTTCAAATCCTGCCATGGCAGATGGTGGAATTTGAACGCAATAAACATCTGGAAGCATCAGTCAATCATTGACAGACTGTTTGGAAATGCTGAGTAAATCCTATCCCTAACAATCTTGTCCAATAATTTCCCGACCAGTGACATAAGGCTCCCTAGCCTGTAATTTCCCAGATTATTTTTGTTGCCCTTCCTAAACAAAAGAACAACTTTGTCTATTCTCCAGTCCTCTGGGACTTCTCCTGTGACTAAAGAGGATACAGAGATTTTGTACACAGTCCCAACAATTTCTTCACCTGCCTCCCTCAGCATTCTGGGATGAATCCCATGAGGCCCTGGGACTTATCTACTCTAGTGCTTTTCGAAACATCCAACACTACCTCCTTTTTTTACATCAACATGCGCCACAACATTAACATCCCCTCCCGAGAATCACCATCCACCATGTGTTCGGCATGCACTGGTAGGGCCGAAGGATATGTTTCCGTGCTGTATGACTCTATGATGGCTGCATTGATAAATTTCAACTCCACTTTCTTGCCATTTCCCATAGACCATGACTGATCAAATATCTATCTATCTCAGGGTAGAATATACTTAATGACACAGCCTCACTAATAAGGGAGCACTGCACAATTGGAGGGTCGGTACTGAGGGAGCGCTGCACTGTCGGAGGGTCAGTGCTGAGGGAGCACCGCACTGTTGGAGGGTCAGTGCTGAGGGAGCGCCGCACTGTCGGAGGGTCAGTGCTGAGGGAGCACCGCACTGTCGGAGGGTCAGTGCTGAGGGAGCGCCGCACTGTCGGAGGGTCAGTGCTGAGGGAGCGCCGCACTGTCGGAGGGTCAGTGCTGAGGGAGTGTGAGCATGTTGAGCCTGTTCTTGAGCATTATTGTGGGTTGGGTCACGGCCCAGATGAGGCCTTTGATTATCATGAATTTTTCTGCCTTTGAACTTTAAGGGAGTAAATCTGGAAACCGGAGAACTGCAAATATTCGGAGTGTTGGATATTCGGATCTTTTTGCCCTGGGGAAGGATGATCTGACTGAGGTGCTGGTGGATTTCCCAGAGGCTAAGGAGATGCTGGAGGCAAAGGGCCAGGAGATGCTGTTGAGGATGGGGCTGTTGGATGGAGTTGTTGCACCAAGTGAAGCGGAGAAGGGGAGAGCGGTGAGGAATGTGGGGCCGCTGCAGAATTCCTTTGACTTGTTACAAACCAGAATGGCTCGCCTGATGGCGGAAATTGAATCCAGTTTTCAAAAGATCAACTTTCGGCTTGACCACCTTGAAGATGTGCTGGGGGTTGATGAAGACCCGGAAAGGAAAAGGAATGTCGAGGATCCCAGGTTGACCCAGGATCAAATTGAAGAATCCAGGATCATTCCAGGATCCAGAGCCAGACGAGACCCAACCAAGCTCACCCCGTGCAGCTCAAAGACTGAGCTGAAGTGAGTGGATGTCGGAAATCTGAAACAAAAACAGAAACTGCTGGAGAAACTCAGAAAGAGTTAACATTTCAAATCCAGTGACCCTTCTCAAAACGTTAACTCTATTTCTGTCTCCACCGATGCTGCCAGACCTGAGTTTCTTCAGCAATTTCTGTTTTTGTTTTAAATCCCTACAGCTAGGCCAAAGATCAGGTTGTTGCACCGGCTAAGGTTCAGTCTTATGTGCAGAGCAGTCTCATTCCAGCTCATTTCAAGCTCAATCCCAGGCTCAGGCCCAATCCCAGGTTCAGGCCCAGGCCCAGGCCCAGGTTCAGGCTCAGGCCCAGTACCGGACTCAGGCCCAGGTTCAGGTCAAAGCCCAGGCCCAGGCCCTAGTTCAGGCCCAGGCCCAGTCCCAGTCCCAGTCCCAGTCCCAAAGCCTCAAGGCCACACCCAGCCCCAAAACCCAGGACCAGGGACAAAGCTCCAACCTAGTTCTAACCCCAAACCCAGACGTAGGCCCAGGCCAGACCTTCAGCCCACCAAGCCTGCTCCAGGTTCAATACGATCATGGGTGATCCTCTCTCTCAATGTGATGTTCGATACCTGGTTAGAAAAGAAAATGGTTGAGAAATAAACATAACTAATTAGGTAGGTCACACGTAGATATTAAAATCATTAAACGATAAAAAATCACGTGGAATTAACCATTAAAGACACAGTTGCAGCCAGAAGGAAATACCAGAGATGCTAATTTTGAAAGGATTATAGACAGACAAACTGCAGGTGCTGGAATCCAAGGTAGACAAACAGGAGGCTGGAAGAACACAGCAGGCCAGGCAGCATCTGGAGGAAAGGAGCAGTCAATGTTTCGGGTATTACCCTTCTTCAGAACTTTGAAACTGGGAGGTGGCCTAGGATGGGATGTACATGACACACAGTTGCTATCAATTTGAATGTGAACAACAAGAATAATCATGAAAGGGGACCCTGAATAGAGTCATCACACCAAGGAGTGAAAATAATGTTAATTACAGAAGACAGAACAATGGTATGTCTAACTGCCAGACTGGAAAGAACAGATAGACCCACCGAGTGGGAGGAAGAGGAGAGAGGGTGACAGAGAATGTAACAAGCAAAGCTAAAAAAAAGGGGAGTGGGTTCACAATTGAAGGTGTTGAATTCAATATTGAGCCCAGAACGTTGTAAACTGCCTACTCTCGAGATGAGATGTTGTTCCTCCAGTTTGCGCTATGATTCACTGGAACACTGCAGCGTGCCGAGGACAGACACATGAGCACGTGAGCAGGATGCTGTGTTAAAATGACCAGCTACGGGAAGGTCAGGGTCCTGCTTGTGCATAGATCGGAGGTGTTCCGCAAAGCAATCACCCAGTCTGTATTTGGTTTCTCCAATGTAGCGCAGGTCACATTGGATACAGCGAATACAACACACAAGTTTGGAGAGGTACAGGTGAAATGCTGCTTCACCTGGCAAGTCTGTTTAGGCCCTTAGATGGTGAGCAGGGAGGAGGTGAAGGGGCAGGTGTTGTACCTTCTGTGGTTACATGGGAAGGTGCTGTGGGAAGGGTGGTGTGGTGTTGGTGGTCGAGGAATGGACTGGGTGTGTCCCAGAGGGAATGGTGCCTGTGAAATGCGGACAGCGGGAGTGAGGGGAGAATGTGTTTGGTGGTGGCATTCTGCTGGAGTTGTCTGAAATGGGGGAGAATGATCCTTTGAATGTGGAGGCTCGGGGGGATGAAAAGTGAGGACAAGGAGGACCCGATCACTCTTGTGTATTGTATTCGCTGCACCCAATGTGGCCTACTCTACATTGGAGAAACTAAACACAGACTGGGTGACCACTTTGCAGAACATTTCCAGTCCGTGCGCAAACATGACCCTGATCTTCCTGGAGCCCGTCATTTTAACACAGCGTCCTGCGCACATACCCGTGTGTCTGTCCTCGGCACGCTGCAGTGTTCCAGTGAATCACAGCACAAACTGGAGGGACAACATCTCATCTTCAGGCTAGGCACATTACAGCCTTCTGGGTTTAATATTGAGCTCAGCATCTTCAAATTGTGAACCATTTCTTCCCTTTCTTTTAGCCTCGCTGGTTACATTCTCTGTCACCATCTCTCCCCTCCCCCCCTACCCAAAGAACAAAGAAAATTACAGCGCAGGAACAGACCCTTCGGCCCTCCAAGCCTGCGCTGATCCAGATCCTCTATCTAAACCTGTCACCTATTTTCCAAGGATCTGTATCCCTCTGCTCCCTGCCCATTCATGTATCTGTCTAGATACATCTTAACTGACGCTATCTTGCCCGCCTCTACCACCTCCGCTGGCACGCATTCCAGGCACCCACCATCCTCTGCATAAAGAACTTTCCATGCATATCTCCCTTAAACTTTTCCCCTCTCACCTTGAAATCATGACCCCTAGTAATTGAATCCCCCACTCTGGGAAAAAGCTTCTTGCTATCCACCCTGTCTATACCTCTCATGATTTTTTAGACTTCAATCAGGTCCCCCCTCAACCTCCGTCTTTCTAATGTAAATAATCCTAATCTACTCAACCTCTCTTCATAGCTAGCGCCCTCCATACCAGGCAACATCCTGGTGAACCTCCTCTGCACCCTCTCCAAAGCATCCACATCCTTTTGGTAATGTGGCGACCAGAACTGTACGCAGTATTCCAAATGTGGTCGAACCAAAGTCCTATACAACTGCAACATGACCTGCCAACTCTTGTACCCAATACCCCATCCGATGAATGAAAGCATGCCATATGCCTTCTTGACCACTCTATCGACCTGCATTGCCACCTTCAGGGTACAATGGACCTGAACACCCAGATCTCTCTGTGCATCAGTTTTCCCCAGGGCTTTTCCATTTACCACATAGTTCGCTCTTGAATTGGATCTTCCAAAATGCATCACCTTGCATTTGCCTGGATTGAACTCATCTGCCATTTCTCTGCCCAACTCTCCAATCTATCTATATTCTGGTGCATTCTCTGACAGTCCCCTTCACTATCTGCTACTCCACCAATCTTAGTGTCATCTGCAAATTTGCTAATCAGACCATCTATACCTTCCTCCAGATCATTTATGTATATCACAAACAACAGTGGTCCCAACACAGATCCCTGTGGAACACCACTGGTCACAGTTCTCCATTTTGAGAAACTCCCTTCCACTACAACTCTCTGTCTCCTGTTGCCCAGCCAGTTCTCTATCCATCTAGCTAGTACACCCTGGACCCCATGCGACTTCACTTTCTCCATCAGCCTACCATGGGGAACCTTATCAAACGCCTTACTGAAGTCCATGTATATGACATCTACCGCCCTTCCCTCATCTATCAACTTTGTCACTTCCTCAAAGAATTCTATCAAGTTGGTAAGACATGACCTCCCCTGCACAAAACCTTGCTGCCTATCACTAACAAACCCATTTTCTTCCAAATGTAAATAGATCCTATCCCTCAGTATCTTCTCCAGCAGCTTCCCCACCACTGACATCAGGCTCACCGGTCTATAATTACCTGGATTATCCTTGCTACCCTTCTTAAACAAGGGGGCAACATTAGCAATTCTTCAGTCCTCTGGGAGCTCACCCGTGCTCAAGGATGCTGCAAAGATATCTGTTAAGGCCCCAGCTATTTCCTCTCTCGCTTCCCTCAGTAACCTGGGATAGATCCCATCCGGACCTGGGGACTTGTCCACCCTAATGCTTTTTAGAGTACCCAACACTTCTCCCCTCCTTATGCTGACTTGACCTAGAGTAATCAAACATCTATCCCTAACCTCAACATCCATCATGTCCCTCTCCTCAGTGAATACCGACACAAAGTACTCATTAAGAATCTCACTCATTTTCTCTGACTCCTCGCATAACTTCCCTCCTTTGTCCTTGAGTGGGCCAACGCTTTCTCTAGTTACCCTCTTGCTCCTTATGTATGAATAAAAGGCTTTGGGATTTTCTTTAACCCTGTTTGCTAAAGATATTTCATGACCCCTTTTAGCCCTCTTAATTCCTCGTTTCAAATTGGTCCTACTTTCCTGATATTCTTCCAAAGCTTCGTCTGTTTTCAGTTGCCTAGACCTTATGTATGTTTTCTTTTTCCTCTTTGCTAGTCTCACAATTTCACCTGTCATCCATGGTTCCCTAATCTTGCCCTTTCTATCCCTCATTTTCACAGGGACATGTCTGTCCTGCACTCTAATCAACCTCTTTTTAAAAGCCTCCCACATATCAAATGTGGATTTAGCCTCAAACAGCTGCTCCCAATCCACATTCCCCAGCTCCTGCTGAATTTTGCTATAGTTGGCCTTTCCCCAATTTAGCACTCTGCCTTTAGGACCACTCTCGTCTTTGTCCATCAGTATTCTGAAACTTATGGAATTATGATCACTATTCTCAAAGTAATCCCCTACTGAAACTTTAACCACCTGGCTGGGCTCATTCCCCATCACCAGGTCCAGTATGGCCCCTTCCCGAGTTGGACTATTTACATACTGCTCTAGAAAACCCTCCTGGATGCTCCTTACAAATTCTGCTTCATGTAAACCCCTAACGCTAAGTGAATCCCAGTCAATGTTGGGAAAATTAAAATCTCCCATCACCACCACCCTGTTGCTCCTACATCTTTCCATAATCTGTCTACATATTTGTGCCTCTATCTCATGCTCGCTGTTGGGAGGCCTGTAGTACAGCCCCAACATTGTTACCACACCCTTCCTATTTCTGAGCTCTGCCTATATTGCCTCACTGCTCGAGTCCTCCATAGTGCCCTCCTTCAGTGGGACTGTCTGTTCTTTCCAGTCTGGCAGGTAGACATGCCATTGTTCTGCCATTCTCACATTCTGATCACTTAATCTGAACTATCAATATCCTTTCTCCCCCAGCATTCTAACCCCACTCCCCCGAACCCCACTGTAGCATAAATGCTGCCTACTACACTTTTCACTTCAGCTCTGATGAAGAGTCATCTAGTTTTGAAACGTTAGCTTGCTCTGTCTCCATTGATGCTGCCTGACCCACTGTGATCTCCAGCATTTGTTGTTTTCAG